TTTTATTTTGTTAAAAGGTATTAAATGCATTTTTAAGCTCATCCGGAGTTATTTCAAGCTCGTTCATGAATGAGGCTTTTTTTCCTAGATACGATTAATAACAATTTTTTCCAGGAGTTCTTTTATAAGCTAAATTTTCCCCAATTTTTATAAAATAATTATTAAATTTCTCTGCAATATCTTTTGCATTATTGGCTACTGTATCATTTTCATCTGTTTTTAAATATTGCGGGAACGCTTTGGTAGCATCTTTTTTTTCCCTATTTAGTTCCCTTTTTTTTTCCCCTATTTATTTCCCTATATATTTTTTAATTTCACTATTTATTTCCCTATATAAAAATATATTTTTTATATACTATTATAATCATTCTTAATGTATAAAAAACATATATCTATATAAAATATATATGTTTACATAGACAAATATAACAGCAGCAATATTACAAAACTTGCAGTTTGTAATTCATTAAGCCAAACATATGTTTTTAGAATATAACAAAAAGAAGAAAAAAAATGAGTTACGGCACCGATTATGTAATCAAAATCTTCGACCATTTTATCAAAGTGTGCATAGTATTTGAATTGTAAGAATTAAAACACTTAAAGAACTTGAAGATACAAACTACAAGATCCTTATGTAATTTATCGGATTGTATATCAATTTTTTTTAAGTTGTACAACTAATTTCCAGACTTTTTATACCTAGATCCAGATAAGATGAGGCGGATTGACCACTTAGTTCCATACTACTTTAGGCATAATTCAACTTTCGTTAGTTAAAGTAATTTAAATCCACACTTTGTACCAAGATTAGATTAGGCAAAACTTATTTTGCCTAATGCATGAAAGAGCATTAAAAAGCCATAATTAATCATAGTTTGTAACACTCCCGCGCTTGCCGAAGTAAAGTTACATAAGTTACGTCACCAACTCCGTAACCGTAAATAATAAAAAAATGCCCAATGGAATTTTAAATGTAAAGTAAATTATCATAAACATTTTAATAGTAATACAATATTTCTCTTTAGGCGGCCGCCTAATGTGCCGTACCCTTGATCTACCTCTGAAGTTGAACCAAATATAATACTTAATACAAAAAAATTTTTAGTTAACGGTATTTTTTATAAGCATTTACTATGCAAAATACTACCAATGAGTAAAAAGTATCAATATCTTCTAAACTTTTTTGTATTAAGTGTTGCAAAATACCATCAATTCGCTTATGGGTTAGGATTTAACAGAGAGCAAAGAAGACCTTAAGAACTGAGTCAGGAAAACTTTAAGAAGGGAGAAAATTCTTAAGAACCAAAAAACTAGATAAGAAAAAGGTTTTTTTATATGAAGTTAAAGTAAAATAATGCAACTTTGATGCCATACAATGTTCAGTTTTAGTTAATGGAAAAAGGGGGGATAGCTTGCTTACACCACACGTAGTAGTATTTGAAAAAAATGATTAAATCTTGCAATAATGGTGCAGATTCTTTCCTGCCGTCAATCGGATTAAAATAAGATATTCATTAGAAGAACCATTCCAAATATGAGAACAAAATTCAATGCAAAGGCGGATAAGAGATTTATAGAGCTAGAGGGGACGACTGAATAAGCGCAAATTTCATAAGTGCAAACTGGCATAAGTGCAAATGGCGTAAGTGCAAACTTCCATAAGTGCGAATGGCGTAAGTGCCAACTTGCATAAGTGCGAATTGGCATAAGTTCAAACTGGCATAAGTACGAAACAATTTACAAAAACTGGCACATGTGCGAATCTGCATAAGTGCACCAAAAGAATTTGCAAACATTGGCATAAGTGCTAACTGTCATAAATGAAAACTGACATTTTTTTTTTTTTTTTTTTTTTTTTTTCAATTTTTTGCCGTAGAAAGTTACAATTTATAAAATAACATAAATAATAAAGCAAATGGCTGGAGCAAGAAGAAGACATCAGTTTGTCTTATCACCGAGCCCCATAGTGACTTCATTACAGGTCGTTTTTTACAACAAAATATATAAAATCGTGATAAATTGTTTGTGATAAAATATGTAAAAATGTGAAAAACTACGTTTTACAATTGATATAACTGTTTATATATAAATTCGTTTAGTAAAATAAATTTAGAACAAGTAAAAGTTAAAACAAATAAAAGAAAGAAATTGTGCTAGTTTATTTTATACTAAAAAAGAAAAAGAAAATTTAAGTCCGTAGATAATAAAAAACGCTTTGATTCAGATTTGAACTGTTCAAGTGTATTTCTTTTGATAGAAACAATCTGGGGAAAAATTTTCCACAAATAAGGTCCGCCGTGTTGGATTGAGTATGAATTTAACTTTAATGTAAATTTTGGGGTGACAAAGTTGTTATATGAGAATCTAGTAGGGTATTTATGACTTATTTTGCTAAAATAGGGTTGAAATATCGGTGGAGATAGTCCATTTTTTATTTTGTACATAAACTGTAAAACAAGATGTATGTTAATTTTGTATATATTCAATGCTCCAAGTTTGCATAAGAGAGGTTCACCAGACGCTTTTTTACTTACTCCGAAGACAATTCTACAGGCATGTTTTTGTTACCATGTTACCATAGCTTAGATGACTATGTATTAATGAAAAGTATAAACTTCTTAAGGAAATGATATTTAGGAAAGGTTTTGCTTTATACATTAATGAAATATTTCTTGAGAGCTTTCTCTCTAAAGTGTTTATATGGAGCTTCCACGACAAATTTTCATCCAAGACCACACCTAGAAAGTCTATAAAATTTTCTCTTTTTATATTAGTATTATTTATTTTAAGATCAGGTAGTTTAAGAGGAATATTTTCGTTTTTATTTGGTTTATGAAATAGGATGAACTTGGTTTTTTTGACATTCAAAGAGAGTTTTTTACACCTAAACCACTCATTTATTTTATGTAATTCTTTGTTAACTATGTTAAAAAGTGTCCTGATGTCTCTATGCGAATAAAACAAATTGGAGTCATCCGCAAACAAGATTAAATTTAATAAGTTTGATGTTGAATATAAATCATTTATATAGAGTAAAAATAATAATGGTCCCAAGATCGAGCCTTGGGGAACCCCGCAAGTTATGGCGCTACTTGTTGTTTTTGTTGTTTCATGCTGAATATATTGCTTTCGGTTTGATAAATAATCTTTAAACCAAATTTATTATTTTTTACTCCATACACTTCGAGTTTTTTTAGAAGAATGTCGTGATTTACGGTATCAAAAGCTTTAGAAAGATCAATAAAAACTCCTAGCGTAAAGCAATCATTACTAAAAGCATTAGATATTTGATTAACTAGCTCAATTATAGCATGGTCGGTTGAGTGGTTTTTTTTAAATCCAAATTGTTTACCGTATAAAAAATTGTTTTCCGTCAAATAGTTGTAAAGTCTATTATACATGACGCGTTCTAGTAATTTGGAAAAACATGGTAAAACTGATATAGGTCTATAATTATTAGTATCAAAATCATCTCCAGATTTTAAAATAGGGGTGACTCGAGCAATTTTTAGTTTATCCGGGACAATGCCTGATTTTAGCGAAAGATTGAAGATGTGGTGCAATGATGGTTCAATGATATCAAATAGTGATTTTACGACAAAGCTACTGATATAATCAAAGCCCGCACTTTTGTTGTTTTTTAGATTGTTTAAAGCGGATCGCAGTTCATTAGAATCTAGATGTGTTTCTTTCATAATCTTTTCTGTGGTAAGGTTCTTAATCAAGTAAGAATGAAATGTTGCAGAACTCGACGGAATTTCTGCTGCTAAATTGTGACCCACATTAAGAAAAAAGCTATTTAGATATTCAGCTATTATTATCTTATCACTGACTAATTTACCATCAATTAAAAGCTTTTTCGGGAGATTGCTTTTTGTACAGTTATTATTACCGATTATCTTTTTAATCGAATTCCATGTTTTCTTAGCATTGCCATGGTTTTTTTTAACAAATTTGAATAATAAAGCTTTTTTGAGTATTGTTTTGTTTTTTCAAACAAGTTTTTATAATTTTTATAAGTTGTTTCATTTTTATAAGTTTTATTTTTTAGGAATTTGTCGTAGAGTTTTTGTTTTTTTCTTGAGGATTTGATTAAACCTTTAGACATCCAAGGAGTTAGAAGTGACTTTTTGTTTATAACAACAGTTTTAACTGGAAACGTTTTTTCATAATATTTACAAAATTGACCTAGAAAAAGTTCGTAGGCGTTGTTCGCATAGCTTGATTGCAATATAAGATCCCAATCAACATTGTTTTTTAGTAAACTTTTAAATTTTTGTAAGGAGTTTTCATTGATCTCTCGTTTGTATAAAGGAGGTTTGGGAGAGGTATTGTTTGGTGCTATGTTTTTAGTAGTTAAGAAGGTGGGAAAATGATCGGAAAGGTCTGTCTTAATTATACCGGTGAAAACATGGGAATTGTTGGTTATTATATTATCGACTAAGGTAGAAGAATTTTTAGTTACTCTGGTTGGCTTGATAATTGTTGGAATGAAATTGTGCTCAAGTAGAGTATCAACAAAATGTTTAACACTATTATTAGAAGTATGCTTCAACAAATTAATATTTATATCACCAACTATGTAAACATTGGCGTAAGTGCGAAATGCGAAATTGGACTTATCTTAATATTTGCAATTTTATTTGGCGCACTTAAGCCAATTCGCACTTATGCCAGTTCGCACTTGTGCCAGTTTTTGTAACTGCTTCGCACTTATGCCAGTTTACACTTATGCCAATATTTGCAAATTTATTCGAAGTACTTATGCAAGTTCGCACTTATGCCAGTTTTTGCGACGCTTCGCACTTATAAAATTTGTTAAAATTGTATTTTAAATGTCTATTAAACATTTTCTAAACATTCTTTCGTATAGAACGTTTAAAGACGTTTAAAAACCGTTAAAAAGACATTTAGAACTTTAGAAAACAAATGCCCATAGGGAAACCAACTGGACTTTGTGGCTGAAACAAACTTTCTCATTCAACCGGAAAAGTTTTTATTTTCGCAGACCAATCATGATCGGCGGACAATATAATCGTGAATCTATTATCAACTTCATATGTCACAAGTTACAAAATTTAAAATAAAGTAATAAAGATGTCCCATTGCATATTACAAGGTGGTTACTTTAATAATACACTGCGCTCTTGGCAGTCAAACACATCTGGTCTCACTGCTGCTTCTCTTATATACCCTATTTTTATAAGGTTTGTTTACTTGCAGTATATTTATTTGTAGACGCGTTGCTTCCCATCAAGTTTGTTTCATATTTCAAACATGTTTTGTGAAAATTTGCTATTTTCAATTAAGTTTTCCTTTGTTAAGAAATTCTCAAGTTTATCACATATCTTTAAATGATCTGGAGAACTTTTTTTTTTTCAGCAAAATTTTTGTTGGTAGCAAGTTCATAAAATTATGTTATTTTTTATATAACAATAGCTCTTAAATACTAATTTCATTAATTTTTCATGTGTTAAAAACAAATATGTAACTTTTATTGTTTAAAAAAGTTATAAAAACAAAATTAAAAAAAGTTATTTCAGCTGCATCACGTTGTAATTTCAATTGCATTTTTATTGTAAATTACAATATGATATCAATTGCAGCTAATTTATTTTCAACTTCAGAAGAATTAGAAGTTGTTTAAAAAACGTATTACTGCACAACTGGTACTTAAATATTAATATTTTAAAGAGTATTGAAAAACACTTATGACTAAAATATTGACTAAAAGCTACAGATGAATTTAAGTGATAAATAATGGAAACATAAGTAATATGGATGTGTAAAAACAGATTAACCAGTTTCTCTGATATGACAAAAAAAGTGTGGTCATTAGATTCAAGATATGAATTGATGAAAAGGTTTTTCGGCAATTAGTTCCCCTTTATCCTTAAAGGAAGTAATAAGGTCAGACCTGTGAATTAGAGATAGAATATTAGATTTGCTTTTGTTGATGACACTGTTGAAGATTTCTAAAAAGTCTCCGAAACCTAATGTCTGAAATAAAATTAGATTTAGTTTTTATTCAGTTTGATTAGCATTTAATTCAACAAGAAGAGCTGAAAAGTTACTTTGAAAATCATTAATTCTCATTATTTTAATATTAATTATGATATAATATATTATACAAATTTGGACTTTAAAACTGTATTTAACCGAAATCAAGTTCTGACTTTTATATCGAATAAAACTGATTTATTATTCATGAGTTAAATCACCATGTATTGAATAATATTTTCAGAATGCAAAATACATCAACTTTTAACAAGTTACAGAGTATAATGCAAGTTAAAGCAGTGAACTTTATCTTAAGATTTTTTTTTTTTTTGGCATGCAATTTAGAATAGTTCTGGGTAATATAGACAAGCCTCTGTACATTGTTGCTCTAGATTTGTTCGGGTCCAAGTGAAAACTTGGCCAGCTGCAGAAAAGACTCTTTCAGAAAGAGCTGATTAGCCTGGAATGGGATATACTTTCCTGACAATAAATGCTAACTTTTGATATTGTGGTGCCGTGCTCTTCCACTACTGCAAACCATCAGTTTTGCTACCAATGGAGATATTTTCCAGTTCTGTTTGAAAGTGTTATTTCTGTCTGGAACTAAGACTATCCTGAGTAAGAATTGTAATTGGTAGGAAAAATCAATCCAATCAAAATCTAGAGTGTTTGTAGATGTTTTCTCCAAAAATGAGGGTGAGGCAGTTTCCTTAGCAGATAATTCTAGATTATGTTCAACTTGGATGCATGTTTTGGTCAATTTATATCTTTCATGCTTTGTTTTAGCCTTTAAAGTTTTAAATTTGCCTTTAAAGACTAGCATGTGAGCAATAGCATAGGTGCCACCATCTTTTTAAATTATTTTCTAATTTGCTCATCCATAGCTGTTGCTAACAATATAAGATATAATTTTTTTGTTGTTGTTTCAAATTTAACAGAAATAATAAGTTAATCGTAAATGTAACCCTTTGAAGATGGACAAGAAAACGACAGTAAATAATCGACTAAATAAAAAATTTTTTTTTTTTTTGATCACTTAATTGTTTTGGTTAATTAACTTGCGTAAAGAAAAATTTTTGGTTATTAATTCACCTCTATTTATAATATGTTATATATTTTATAATTCTTTTTCTTTTTTTAATTGATAGAAATTTACAATTTTTTTTCATTTCATGAACAAGTAATAAAAAGTATGTATATAAACACCTTGTCATATTTTAGAATTTAGATACACCTTTAAATACCCATTAGTTTAATGTGTAAAAACTTTTTTGAGAAAAACAAGCCATTTTAAGATGCTTTTACATTTTTACACACTTAGTATTTTTAAGTTACACACTCTGCCTATTTAAAAATAGAAAGATAAAAGGAGCAGATGTCTTTTTTTGAATATGAGTTTATAATATAAAATAATCTCATATTTTTATATTCTATTTTATGTAAGAATATTAAAAGTTTTTTTAATCTGTTTTCCTTAATTTTAAATGATTGGTAGTCCACAACCTCCATTATATTTACCTACAACCTCCATTATATTTACTCTGCATCTTTATTATGACCAAATTTTTTTTAAAATAAGGTAAAAACATTTAAATCTAATATGATCTGATAATTCATTTTATTTTAATTAAAAGAATCATAACAAATTTGTTTATAATAAATAAACTCTCCTTTTTATTTGTAGTAAGATAAAATTAAATTTCCTTAATTTTTTTTGTCAAAAAACATTTCTGAATAATAGTTTATACTATAATCATTTTGTTAAACAATATTTCTGAAAAAAGTTTTTTGCGATACAACTACTATGCTTTGGTTTTAATCGGCTTCAGAATAAGCTTTATGAGGGTCTGGCAAATTCTTAAAGAAGATCTGGTGAGTTTACTATTTCAATATTCTATTTAAGAGTCAAAGTGCACAATAAGACTTACACATTAGACAATACTATAAGTTATCCTTAATGTTGCGTGTTATAAGTTATCTTTAATACTGCTACTATTTTTCTTATACTCTTTTTTAACTTTATGTTGGAAAAGGTGAACAAAATTGTTCATCTTTTCCAACATAAAGGATTACAATTGCAATTGTTAAACTCAGTGTATTGCTAATTTTAAATACAATGCATTAGCATCTTTTTTAATACTTTTGAATTAAAAGAGTTTTTTTTTTCTAGAAAAATAAAATGTTCGCATCAGATTTTATTTTTCTAGAAAAAAGATAAAAAACACATTTATCATTTTCACTTTTTAAAATTGTTAATATGTTTGTTTTATCTTTTAATTCCTTGAAATAATCTTTCTTAAAATGTTTTCATTTTCAAAAGCAATATTTTTACATACTCTGTGCTTGTTCTTTTCTTTTTATATCTATATATATATATATATATATATATATATATATATATATATATATATATATATATATATATATATATATATATATATATATATATATATATATAATTTTAGCTATGACCATGATGCTTATGATGAAATAAAGTCACTACCTGGTCAATTTAGGTTAATTTTATCTTCTTTTTTTTAAAAATATTTTATTATTACTATTATTAATGATATTACAACATTTATTAATATTTGTACAAACAAACTTGATAATCTTTTTTTTTCAAAGAGTTGGTAAAAATAAAGTAGTGGACTATCTGAAACCTCTTATTGAAAATGGTTTAAAAACAGTTTTGCTTTTTGGTATGGTAAAAGAAGACCATAAGGTAATATCTGAAATTTATCAATTAAAAAAAACTTTTTGTTTTGTTAAATGTCAGTTAAAAAATACTTTTCCAAGTACATAGAATGTTGTTGCAACCAGTCAACAATGTGGGTTTTAGAAAATCAAAACATTAGTTGCAACAAGAAAGTAAAAACAGAAAAAATTTCCCTTCCCTTCTGAGAAGAGGTGTGCAGTCTCACACTTTATCTGGCTAGGTGTATTATACTTTGTTTTGACAACTTGGCCACAGTTCTTTACTTATATATATATATATATATATATATATATATATATATATATATATATATATATATATATATATATATATATATATATATATTATATATATATATATATATATATATATATATATATATATATATATATATATATATATATGTTACTTATTCCTAAACATTTTTATTTGTAAGTTTTTGTAAATAAAAGCAGTGAAATTTATCAAAAAATTGCAAAGGGTGAAAAAGTGAATGTTATTAACACAATGCCAAAACTTGGATTTTTCATATCTGGTCTAGAATTTTAAAATGTACATAGGGATTTACCCTGAGTTGACACATTTGCGTTACAAAATTTTTGTGCTTAGTAGTTGCAGTTGCCATCAGTGTTATGATTTTGGAAAAGATAAAATAAAATAACTCATGATTGCTGACTTTGTTTAAGTTTTTTAAATAATTGCTAACACATAAATTATTTAAACTCAGCAAACCTCACAAATGGCTTTATTATTCTTTAAACATTAATTGCGGTGTTTGTTGCTGATTATTTATTGTTTTGTAATATTTTAAAAAATTTGTTTAGAATGAAATAAAATGCTTAAAATATTTCAAGAAACTATTGTAGAGATGTTTTATAAAACATCTTTTATAATTTTGTCACAAATTATTTTGTATTTTAAAGAATGAAAAAGGAGATGCTATTTATATCGAAGACTATAACCCTGTTATAAATGTTATTAAATTGCTTAAAGAAACTTTTCACGGTTTACTTATTGCGTGTGATGTATGTCTTTGTGCTTATACAGATCATGGTCATTGTGGTAAGATATTTTTTTTTATTTTGTAGTTATTTTTTATGGTATAAAAACCTAACATTAAAATTTTTATATTAAATAAAAATGATTAAACAAGTTAAATATGTTTAGATATGTTTAGATTTTAATTAAATTTTTAATTTATAAATAATTTTGCATCATATTTAATCTTTTTTTTTTTCAATAGGTGTTTTAGATAACAAAGCAGCTATTGACAATAAAGCAAGTGTTAATGCAATTGCCTTAGCATCTCTTATTTATGCTACAGCAGGTAAATAATAAAGAAAAAACTTTTAAAAGAAAGGTTTGGATCAGTGAACTTTTTATAGAATGATTCACTGTTTTATATCTCATAAAACAAGTTAACTAAATTTTATGTTAAAAATCAGAAATTTTGTCAAAGCACAAGTTTCATTTTATTTTTAGGTTGTCATATTATTGCACCATCTGATATGATGGATGGGAGAATTTATAAAATTGATCAATTACTGAAAGAAAACTCACTAAGAAATAAAGTTAGCAATCAATTTATTTTTTTATAAACAAAAAAGTTTTTATATTATTGTGTGTTTGTTGTAAAAATTATTTTTAACAAATTGTTCTTTTTAAATGTAACTATTTTTTTAAAAGTGATATCATTTCTATTAGATAATGATTATATTTTATATATTTTTGCAATATTAGGAGTATTCTTATGTCATCCGCTTCTTTAATGTTAAAGTTTTTTTTTCCAGTTGTTAAATATTCTTATGCCACTCCTTACTCTTATTACTATAATATTTTTTTCTTCAATGGTGCCATTTTATCTCATTCATTTTGTATTTTAATCTTTTGCTTATTGGCTTTAGGACAAAATGTCTCATTCTCCATTCTCTTTTTATTTAACTTATATCTCTACTTTAAGTCTAAGAAGTATGTAGTATTAACAAAACATGCTGAACAAATTTTACAAAAATAAAATGCTCAAAACTAAGAAAATGCGCAAATGCAAGCCAAGTTCCACTTTAAGGGTTTTGTTTTCCCAAAAACAAGTTATAAAAGTAATTTATAGCTTTAAAAAATCCTGCAAAATAAAAAAATAATAAACAAAAAAAAAATCCTCTTTTCTAGATATGTAAAAACTCATTTATTGAGTTTTTCAAATTGTGGAAAAAAATGAACCAGGGACAAAATATATTTGATTAAATATAGTGATAAATGTTGAAGTGCTTATAAGATAAATATTAAAGGGCATTTATGAGATAAACTATATAATTTATTTCTTAGATTTAAAAAATGATATAAATATAACTAAAGTTATTTCAAGAGGACTATAGTTTTATCAAAAGATCGCCTATCAAAACACCTTGATATTTTTTCTTTAAAATTAAACTTTTTTTTCAATTGAATAGAATTTAACTTTATTTTTAAATTAAGTTTTATTTTTTATTTTTAATTATTAATGCAACACCATTCAACAATCAACAAGGCTGTTAGCAACCACTTTAAGTTGGGAAATACTGGAAAACAAAGAATAGTGTTAGGGAGCAAGGAAGCAGTTAGCAGAAAGCTTGAAAAGTTGTGGGATGTATGAGTCAGAAAAACATAAAAATGGGAGAGAGTTTCAAAGGATTGAAGTGCTGGAAAAAAAATAGTAAAAAACCTAGATAAATAAGTTTTTAGATCATGATAAAACAGATACATTAAAAGGCTTTGCTAAACTGTTTGTTAAATTATCATTCATTGTTGATCCTTTTTTGAAGATCAACAATGAAAATATTTGTAGAAAAGAGAAAGACATGCAAGCTTAAGCTGATGAGAGGGTTTCAAGTTTGGCAGGTAATAGAGCAGGTCAGAATCAGAAGTAAGATAATGGTAATAATGATAAAGAGAAGCATGCTTAGCAGATACTATACTTTGCAATAAATTTTTTATATGGTTTGTATGAAAAGTCAGTAGTGAATGATAATCCAAGAAGAAATAAAGTAGAGGACTCAGTGAAAGGGTCTGGTCAACAAGCCAGAGAAGTTTTTAATTGAGAAATAATTTTCTCAGTTAAACTCTTCTCTTGAACAAAAGCCAGAGTGATTGGATGTCTAACAATGGTTTATCCTGTTTATCTGGAATGGCAGGAAGAGTATGTCCATTAGGTTCAAGAGTCAAATTCGAGGAAATGTTGTTTGCAAATAGTTTAGCCTTATCCTTGAGAGAGATAATAAGATCAGACCCTTGTATTAAAGAATGGAATGTTCGACTTACCTTTGTTAATGACTCTGTTTAAGATTTTCTAGATGCAAGGTTTACTTAACTGGGAAAAAACAGACGCTGTTTGGTGTTGACTTTTTACATTTATTTCTAGCAATAATAAAAAGATGTTTGTTCTCAAAAGAGTTATAGCAGCTGCACAAGAAGGTGAAACCATGGAGTAGATCAATTTAAAAAAGCATAAAACATATTTTTCTTACAATGTTGAACTAGATAGCATTCTCAAGGCTAGATAGCAAACAAAACACAGTTTTGTTTGCTATCTAGCCTTGAGAATGACAAACCAAAAATAAAGATCAAATTTAATGTTGGCTACCTGTTCTAAGCAATCAATAAATGATGACTTTATTATTACTAGAGTGTATTGTTGTGTTTCATCAGCAAATATGGCCACTTTAAGATTATCAGGATATTGGATTACTTGTTTCTCTAGAATTTTAAAAAGTTAAAAAATTCATTATTAGTTTTAAGAGTTTAATTAGAAAAAAATTTCTTTGGCAACCTTATCCTTAGGAATAAGTCTCTTGTATGACGTAAAAGGTATTAGACTTAACTTTATTAATGATACTATTAATAATTTTTTTAAAGCATATTAGTCTTGACTTTATTAACAATACTATTAGTAATACTTTTAAAGAATATTAGACTTAACTTTATCAACAATACTATTAATAATACTTTTAAAGAATATTATTCTTAACTTTATTAACGATACTATTAATAATACTTTTAAAGAATATTATTCTTAACTTTATTAACGATACTATTAATAATACTTTTAAAGAATATTATTCTTAACTTTATTAACGATACTATTAATAATACTTTCAAAGAATATTATTCTTAACTTTATTAACGATACTATTAATAATACTTTTAAAGAATATTATTCTTAACTTTATTAACGATACTATTAATAATACTTTTAAAGAATATTATTCTTAACTTTATTAACGATACTATTAATAATACTTTTAAAGAATATTATTCTTAACTTTATTAACATTACTATTAATAATACTTTTAAAGAATATTATTCTTAACTTTATTAACATTACTATTAATAATTCTTAAAAAATCTTTAGAACTAAACTTCTGAGATAAAATGAGATTTACTGTTTTTAGAATAATTGAGTTTAGCATTAAAAGATTTTTTGCATTGATTTTTTTGTAAATGATAAAAAGACCATTGTTCTCAGGAGAGTTTTTTTTAATGGAAAAGATGATTAATAAATTAAAGTTAAAAATGATTCAAGTAGCATATAAATTAATAGCCAAATGATTCAAAACAGATTGAAGTCACCCACAGCATGGTAATGTTTGAATTCTGGTATATTATAGCTTTTGATGTATTCAGTTGATATGTGTTACAGTCTGAGACTTACTGTTGAGTTCAGTATACCTTAATATCAGTTTGTCTCAGAGTCATTAAACTGTTATTTAGAGCTATAACTTTATTTGCAGATAAAAAAAGAATTGCATAAAAAAGAAAGTTAGAAATGAAAAGCCAACATTAAATAAGGTTTTATAGTTATACATAAGGTTTATAGTGTTGTTTAAGATTAGTTTTAATTAGTTTATTCAGTATAAAATTATTATAAACACATGTATTAATGTCTTGATCAAGCAATTTTTATAAAATACTAATACAACAATCCTTAAGAGCAGTTAAGATTTGAGGCTTGTTATAATGCATTAATTAATTGTAGCATGATTTAAGCATACTTGTTTGTTAGGTATTGAATTAAGTAAGATTAAGGTAAGAATTAAGTAAGGTTGTTAAATAAAGTAATAAAAATAACAAAAATTAAAAAAAAAGAGATCTGGAACTAAGGCATGAAGAATTCTAAACACATGTTTTTATGAAAAATTTAATAAAAAATATTTTTTATTATCAATCAATCAATCAATATATTTTCACTTTAATAATACTGTATATATATACAATTGTGCGGGACATTTACAAACAGTTATAAACTGATGACGTGTAAAGACCTATAATGGTATAAATAATAACATAATAATAATAATAATAAATAACAATAATAAATATTATTAATAATAATAGAAATAAATATTAATAATAATAATATTAATAATAATATTAATGCAGTAATATAAAACACTATAATCTATATATATTTTACTACTATAATCAAAATAAAACATTTATAGCAAATAGTGATTATCCTTAATAATAAAGCAAAATAAAAATATAAGAATCTTAATAATATCGATAACAAAAAATAGAACAGATAAAAAGTAGGAAAAAAAAAAAATAGTTGAAGAGAATTAAGCAGGGGCGATAGCATAGGAAATAGTTTTTTGTATATTTATTAAATGTTAGATAGTTTAATAACAATGCCACAATCTTTAAGAGCCATATACACTATATCGGATGATGAAAATAAGGTATTTGATTGCGACTAGATGAACATTTATATATTTTTATGTTTTACTTTTAGAGTTTTGTATTTTTTATTTTTATTTTTAGAGTTTTATATTTTTATTTTTATTTTATGAGTTTTATATTTTTATTTCTATTTTATGGGTTTTATAAATTTATTTATGAGTTTTATACTTTTATTTTATTAAAAATTCAGCCACAAAGAATAACTAGGGGGTGATAGCATAAATGATAGTTCATTGATTATCTTTATTGAGGAGAACTTTTTTACATGGGTTATGAAGGCATTTCTATTTGTCATTTTGGATAATACTATTTTAGTTTCAACAGGAAGAAAGTTCTAACAGTGAATTGATTGATACTTGATTGATTTTATGCCATACTTATGTGTTAGTTTTAAAGGCTTAGAGAGACTACAATAAGATACAGACCTAAGATTATAACTATGAATATCATTTGTGAATTTAAAATAGCTAGTGAAGCAGCTGGGCATATTATTGTGGACAATGTCCCATACAAGTACACAGTTTGATAAGTAGATAAGTTCATCAAGCTTTAAAATTTTAGAAAGATTATATAGTGGGTCAGAACTAAAACTGTTAGGTTTAAAGTGAATTATTCTTAATGATTTATTTTGGAGATTTATAAGGATTTTTTTATACATGGATGAAGTTTGTCCCCATATCTGACAACCATAGCGTAGATGGGAGTTAAAAATAGCATGCCAAATATTCACAAGGGTTTCATAATTCACAAAATGCCTTATTTTGGTAAGCATTCCATTTGCTCGACTTAGTTTGTTTGCTATGGATTTAATTTGTTGAATGAACAAGAGATTTTTATCTAACAATATGCCTAGATATT